CGGGAAAGGGGGGGGTCAGCTGCTGGTGGGGGGCGCGTGCCCCAGCCTAACCCCTGCTTTCCCCGCTGTGCAGGAGCTGAATCTGTACCGGGCCAAATGCAGCATGCTGTTCCATTACGACTGGATCAGCATCCCGCTGGTGTACACGCAGGTGAGTGAGAGCCCCGGCGTCAGCTCCCCTCCGTTCCCACATCCTGCATCGGCATCCTGCGGGGGGGCCATTGGTCCCTAGAAACTGACCCCTCCCCACTCTCCCAGTGACCGCTCCTTTCCATGCCAACCAAACACCCTGCCCAGATAAACCGCTAGTTCCACACAGGGTAGAGACCTTCTCTGGGGAGCATCTTCAGAGAGCTTACGGGGCTCTGGAGGTAGACATACGAATGGCTAGACTGGGTCAGACCAGAGTGTCCATCTAGCCCAGTGTCTTGTCTGCCCACAGTGGCCGATGCCAGGGGCCCCAGAGGGAATGAACAGCACAGGGACTCACCAATGGTACGTCTACAATGGCAGCTTCTTGCGCAAGAACCACAGGGACTCACCAATGGTACGTCTACACTGGCAGCTTCTTGCGCAAGAACCACAGGGACTCACCAATGGTACGTCTACACTGGCAGCTTCTTGCGCAAGAACCACAGGGACTCACCAATGGTACGTCTACACTGGCAGCTTCTTGCGCAAGAACCACAGGGACTCACCAATGGTACGTCTACACTGGCAGCTTCTTGCGCAAGAACCACAGGTGGCAGCTTCTTGCTCAAGAAATTCATGTTGCCTGTCTACACTGGCCTCTTCTGGAAGAGCTCTTGCGCAAGAGGGCTTCTTCCTCGTGAGGAGAGGAATAACTCTTCTGGAAGAAACAAAAGACAGGACTATGTAGCACTTTAAAGACTAAGATGATGGTTTATTAGATGAGGAACTTTCGTGGGCTAGACCCACTTCCTCAGATCAATTTGTGGGAGATTATTGGCATGACCATGTATACCAAAGGGATACAATCAAAACAAGTGAACACAGAGAAAACTGACAAATCAGATTTTAGAACCAGAGGGTGGGGGGGAGTGAAGGGGGAAGGTTAGTGTCTGTGAGGTAATGATATTAGGGGTGATAACTGGGGAAGCTATCTTTGTAATGGCAGATAGTTTCCCCAATTATCACCCCTAATATCATTACCTCACAGACACTAACCTTCCCCCTTCACTCCCCCCCACCCTCTGGTTCTAAAATCTGATTTGTCAGTTTTCTCTGTGTTCACTTGTTTTGATTGTATCCCTTTGGTATACATGGTCATGCCAATAATCTCCCACAAATTGATCTGAGGAAGTGGGTCTAGCCCACGAAAGTTCCTCATCTAATAAACCATCATCTTAGTCTTTAAAGTGCTACATAGTCCTGTCTTTTGTTTCTTCCAGAAGAGTTATTCCTCTCCTCACGAGGAAGAAGCCCTCTTGCGCAAGAGCTCTTCCAGAAGAGGCCAGTGTAGACAGGCAACATGAATTTCTTGAGCAAGAAGCTGCCATACATTGGCCACGGACGCTTTTCTGGAAAAAGTGCTTTTCCGGAAAAGCATCCTGCCAATGTAGACGCGCTTTTTCCGGAAATACTTATAACAGAAAACTGTTCCGTTTTAAGCATTTCCGGAAAAGGGTGCCAGTGTAGACATAGCCTAACCTTCCCCCCTCACCCACCCTCTGTTCTAAAATCTGATTTGTCAATTTTCTCTGTGTTCACTTTTTTTTATTGTATCCCTTTGGTATATATGGTCGTGCCAATTTTTTTCCACTATTTGATCTGAGGAAGTGGGTCTGGCCCACGAAAGCTCCTCACCTAATAAACCATCTTCTTAGTCTTTAAAGTGCTACATAGTCCTGTCTTTTGTTTCAACTAGACCAGACTAACACGGCTGCATCTATATCACTATTCTTCCATAAGAAGCCCCATTTTCTTATGGAAAATTTACTTGCGCAAGAACATGTGTGCAGTGTAGACAGCAGGCAAGTTTTTGCGAAAGAACGGCTGTTCTTGCGCAAGAAGCTGCCAGTGTAGACAGCCTAAGTGATCCATTCCTGACTGCCCACTCCCAGATGTTGGCAAACAGAGGGTAGGGACACTATTCCTCCCCATCCTGGCTAATAACAATTAATGGATCCATTAAATTACCTAATTATTTTTTGAACACTTTTATCATCTTGGCCTTCACAACATCCTCTGGCAAGGAGTTCCACAGGTTGAATGTGCATTGTGTGAAGTAGTTCTTTCTTTCACTTTAAACCTGCTGCCTATTAATTGCATTTGGTGACTCTCTAGTTCTGTTGTTATGGGAAGGAGTAAATAACACTTCCTTATTTTCTCCACCCCAGTCATGAGTTTATAGACTTCAGTCGTGTCCCCCCTTAAGCATTTCTTTTCCCGTGTGAGGTATATCCATGCCTTCCTAGCTATAGCTTGAATTTCTCTATCGCTTTTCATCCCAAAGCCCTTGGCGCATCACCCGTCCCTGCACTGCGTCACCTCTGGGGTGGGGCAGCTGTTGAACAGCACACAGCAACATTGTGCAAAGAGGGGTTCAGACAGGGAGGGAAGAAGCAGCCTGTTTCCTAATGATGCTGTAGGAAGGGTGTAGAGTGACAGAGTGAAATCTCCCTGTGTTGGAATGTGGCCAGGCTAGCCACTTACACAGAGCGGCTCCTCTCACAGACAGGCTCACCGGTGGGGGATCTCGATGTTCTCTAACTGTATCTAGTCTCCTCGTCCAAAGCGGTGGCTGCCCCATCAGGATTTCCCGTGCGCCTTGTGACCAGCCCCCAAAGGCTCCGTATTCCTCCTGCCCATCCCACTCTGGCTAACCAAGTGCCTCTGCTACAGGTGGTCACAATCGCCGTCTATTCCTTCTTCGCCCTGTGTGTGATCGGGCGGCAGTTCCTGGAGCCCCTGGACACAGACCAGGACAGCGATTTGGATCTGTACGTCCCTCTGACCACCCTCCTGCAGTTCTTCTTCTATGCTGGCTGGCTGAAGGTGAGCGTGGGTCCGGCGTGGGCCCCTGAGGGATCTGCTCTTGCCCCAGGGTGCCAGACCCCTCTGCAGCCCTGGCCCCCCTCTACAAAGCTGACATAGCACCAGAGCTCTCAGGGATCAATCGCCTCTAGGACCCTCTGATGCTCCTCACGGCACCTGGGTTGTGACGTGCCCTGACATTGCCTGCTCCCTGAAACCAACAGCCTCTGGCCTCACACGCCCATACTCCCGGGTCACAGAGCGTGTGAGCGTTCAGAGACCCACCCTGAGTCCTCACGGCACACCCTGCAGCGCCTGCCTCGGTCGCACCCAGCAACAGGCTCACTTGCCCGGAAAGAGACCAGGGCACACGTCACCTTGGGGTTGTGCTTTGCCTGACACCACGGCGCTAGGCAGAGGGGCCCCAGGCCTGCAGGGATGGGGGGCAGGGAGAGGGGATAAAGTGAGGGCACCCAGCTTCGGCAGTTAAAATCCAGGGGGGCACATGACTCATCTAGGGGGAACGTGGCCCCACGTCCTCCCCAAACACACGTTACCTATGGTGCCAGGAGTTATTTCTAATACAAACACAAATCCATTTGTTGACAAAGAGCCGGGGTCCAAATTCCAAACGAGTCGTGAGCAAGAGTGTTAGCAGCAGAATGGTCACACGGGAAACAGCGTGCAGCAGGCTTAGCAGAGCTGAAGCTTCACTTTAACGGCGCAAATCCTTATCTAAAGTAGCGTCTTACCTACAGCAATATTTCCCAGTGTGACCAGGTAATATATTCAATAAATACACATAACATTTAAAATCACCTCAGTCTATGCATTTCACAGTGATATTAATGGCCAGCATGGTCCTGGCTTTGCACAAAGTCCAATCAACCAGTGGAACTCTTTGCTGCAGGATGTTGTGAAGGCTAAGACTATAGCAGTGTTCAAAAAAGAGCTCGATACATCCATGGAGGTTAGGTTAGCCAGGCCGGGCAGAGATAGTGTCCCTGGCCTCGGCTTGCCAGAAGCTGGAAATGGTCGACCAGAGGTGGGATCATTTGATGATGCCCTGTTCAATCCCTCTGGGGCACCTGGTACTGGACATTGTCAACAGACAGGACATTGGGCTAGAGGGACCTTCGGTCTGACCCAGTGTGGCTGTTCTTATGGCTTTCATGTGAGACATTACAAGGCCCTGTCTAGGGATAAATCCTAGGAAAACAAGCTGTTAGGCGCAGGGTTTGTCGGGCCTGTTAGGAGTTGCTGACATGGGGCTGGGAACCCTTTGCCAGTTGGTGCCAGGGGGCCTGTGTGTCACAGTCACTGGTGTGGAGGAAACCCAGGTGGGTGAGTCTCATTGCACAGTCTACAGTACAGCGGAAGGTTGAAATACGATACACAACTCCAGCTACATAATTTACATAGCTGGAGTCGAGGTTGTTGTCAGTTCACTGAGAGTCATGTTTCTGTGCTGTCCACACAGCAGGAGGCCGATAGGAACAACTTATCCCATCAGCTTCCCTTACTCCTGGTGAGCAGCAGGAGTACCCACCAACCGGGGCGCCCTCTGAGTTCTATTTAGTGGGTCTGTATTAGACCCTCTAAATCAAACCCCGATCTTCTGCATAGTGTAGATATGCCCTGAGAGATTCATTGGGGTCTTGGTAATTCCTAGTGAGACAAGTGTCCCCCCACCCTCACAACTAATTCCATCGTGTGGACCCTCTTAGCATCATGAAAGATTACAGCTTATCAGTTGTACCTCTTCGGTGGGCAAGCACAGGTCTCCATCCCCCAGGGCTGCAAATCCCTGCTAAAGAGGCACATTTGTGGTAAACCCTTTAAGTGACAATCCATTGCCAGAACAGCGAAGAAAGAGAAAAGGTTAGAAATCAAGGGCACGTGGCTCTGAGACTGGCCCGTCAGCTGGGCTTGCACTGCGTGTGTGTTCAAACACACTGTCCACATCATCAGCTGCGCGTGTGCTGTGATCTCCGACCTGGTGGAAGGGACTGGGTATGCACAGCACGTAACGCACCGGTGGTCCTCAGCGCCGCCGTGGTCATCCTAGTGCCAGCTGTCCGTGCAGCGTGTCTCACAAGCACCAGAGCAGCCTGGGGGCGGAGGGCGTGTGCCTGACGGGGCGTGCTGCCTTCCTTCGACAGGTAGCAGAGCAGATCATTAACCCATTCGGAGAGGACGACGATGACTTTGAAACTAACAAGCTGATCGACAGGAACCTGCAGGTGTGTCCCGTCCCTCCAAAGAGGGTGTGGTCAGGTGACGTGTGCTGGGCGCGCTCTGCAAACTGGAATCGCCAGGGCACAGAGGTGTAACAGGCCAGGCTAAGGGGCAGGGCACGGAGCCTTTCGCCTCTGAGGCTATGTCTACACTCGGGCCTTCTTGTGGCAGAAATATGCAAATGAGGCAAAGCGTGGAATATCACCGAGCCTCATTTGCATACCTAATGAGCCGCCATTTTTGCAGAAGAGGCTCTTGCGCCAGAAGGAGCTGTCTACACGGCCCCTTCTTGCGCAAGAAAACCCTTCTCGCACAATGCCGTTCTTCCTGAAAATAATCGGTGTAATGACATTGCGCGAGAAGGGTTTTCTTGCATAAGAAGGGGCCGTGTAGACAGCTCCTTCTGGCGCAAGAGCGTCTTCTGCAAAAATGGCAGCTCATTAGGTATGCAAACGAGGCTCGGCGATATTCCACGCTTTGCCTCATTTGCATATTTCTGCCGCAGGAAGCCCCGAGTGTAGACATAGCCTGAGTGGCCAAGCCAAATCCAGGCCTTGCGGGCCTAGATCCAGTGAACGGGGGCTCGCCGCAGGCGGGTGTCCACACCCCAAAACTGACCTTCACCGGCGATCCCGGCATTGCCATGGAAAAGTCACAGACCGACTGGGCTGCCTCTCGACTTCAGCTTTGGGCTCTCTCCAGAACAGGGGGCAAACCCAGCTGGAGTGGGGTGCCAGTGTAATAGGGAGAAGCTAGAGCTGCTGATGCCTATGTGGGGGCGGCAGACATCAGCCTCCGGGACGAATTAGGCATAAAAACCCACAGGAGAAACGGAAACAAAGGAGAGGAGTTGGGGGAGAGCGAGCCGAGCCGGCGGGTTGTTCCGTCGCAGACGAATGCTGCTCCCTGGGGCCCGATTTTGCGCCTGTTGCGTTCGGCTGGGGTGGATACAGGACCAGAGCCTGTTTGGACGCAGCCCCCGGGTCTGACTCCACACTTAGGCACCGCCCTCCAGGGAGGAAGGGGGAGTTTTGCCTTCCCCGCCATAGCCCCTCGTGGCCTGGCTTCCCGGCAGCACCCCCACCTGGGCACCGCTACAAATGCAGACTGGAGTCCCGAAGGAGTCACGAAATCAAAGGGGCTGGGCCCCTCCTGAGCGGTGACCCTCCCGGGATCCTACCGGAGCCGCTGATCCTCAGGGCTCCCTCCCTGGAGTCCTTCCCCCCATTCCCAAATGGCCCATCCCAGGCCGCCGTGGGAGCCTCGTTCTCTCTGTTACCCTCAGGGGCAGCCACAGAGCCAACCGCCTCCTCAGCCCTTTACAGAAATGACCCCATGCTCCCACAGCTGGGTCTGGAAACTGAATCCCAGCCCATCAGATCAGCTGGGCAAGACGGAGCCCCGCTCCCCTTACAGCTCCAGCCCCCCTGTGGCAGGGCCTGTTCCCCCTTTTGATGCCCTTTGCTACCTCAGGTGTCACTCCTCTCCGTGGATGACATGTACCAGAACCTGCCTCCAACCGGGAAGGACAAATACTGGAATGAATCCACAGCTCAGCCGCCTTACACCATCGCCACGGCCGCAGAGACCTTGAAACCTTCCTTCCTGGGCTCCACCTTCGATATGCGGTAAAGTCACGGGGACCATTCCAAACCAAAATAGCATCTTTCCTAAGGCAGGACTCCAGCTACCTCCCCCTCCTCCTCCCCCGAGAGCATCTGGGAGGGCTCTGACGGGTGGCTTGGACCTGAAAAGTCATTCTACAAAGGGTGCCCCTTCCTGCCGCTCCGACACACCAGCTCAGATTTACGCAGCTTACAGGTAGGGAGGTGGTTTTGCTGATTACTGCCTGCGCCACACACTGATCCTGGAATCTGGAGGGTGGGGAATTCTAGCTCTGGCATCATCCCTTTATAAAGGCCCTGCAGGTCAAATGCTGCCCTTAGTTACACCTAAGTAAATCTTGTCATCTCCAGGGCTACGTCTACACTGGATGATTTTCCGGAAATGCTTTTAACGGAAAAGTTTTCCGTTAAAAGCATTTTTGGAAAAACGCGTCTAGATTGGCAGGACGCTTTTCCACAAAAACACTTTTTGCAGAAAAGCGTCCGTGGCCAATCTAGACGCGCTTTTCTGCAAAAAAGCCCCAATCGCCATTTTCGCGATCGGGGCTTTTTTGCGGAAAAGAAATCTGTGCTGTCAACACTGGCCCTTTTGCGCAAAAGTTTTCCGGAAAAAGACTTTTGCCCGAACGGAAGCAACATAGTATTTCCGCAAAAGCACTGACAATCTTACATGAGATCGTCAGTGCTTCTGCGGAAATGCAAGCAGCCAGTGTAGACAGCTGGCAAGTTTTTCCGGAAAAGTGGCTGATTTTCCGGATAACTGGCCAGTCTAGACACAGCCCCAGGGGTGCTTGAGAGCAAACCACGAAGATCATTGGGTGCAAGGAGGGGAGACTCCAGTCTCAGCCATTGGAATTACTCAGCTGCGTGACTTGGGAAGAACCCAGGCTGCAGTGAGATTGCAGGGCTTGCAGGCAGGGGGAAACCGCTCTCGTTTTGCCAAGCACATTTGGGCTGTGTCTACACTCGCGGCTTCTTGCGCAAGTGTTCTTGTGCAAGAACTGTTGCTTGCGCAAGAGCTCTTGTGCAAGAGGGCTTACACCTGTCAAAAAAGAGCGTAGCTCTTGCAAGGAGCCCTCTTTTACCACGCCGTACTGTAAATTTACTTGAGCAAGAGCGGGCGGGCAGTGTGGACGCTCTGCAGATTTTTGCGCAAAAACGGCCGTACTTGCGCAAGAAGCCGCAAGTGCAGACATAGGCTTGGTGCACAAGGGTATCGCTCTGCACGCCGAGCGGGTCTGGCTCTTGCTGCCCAGGCCGGAGGAGACTCCAGCTCCCTTTGTGTTGGGCTCATGGGCATAAACGCCGTTCCCGAGCGCGGCAGGATGCCCAGGAGCAGGCCTGTGAGGAGAGGGGATATTTTGCAACGTGACTTTACTTACACTAGCCCTGTGAAATCGGCGTGCATTTGGTGTGGGAGGCAAAGCGTACCCGAGGCCGGCAGCTGCCAAGCCCAGGCTCAGAAGCCATCCCCTAATCCCACGCTCCTTCCCCAGGATGAGCGACGACCCAGAGCAGAGCCAGCAGGTGGAGGCCTCGCCCAGCCTGCCCCGCATGCACACGCCCCTGCTCAACCGCTTCCTGACCGCGGCCGCCTCCCCCGCCATCAGCCTGAAGAATTTCGGGAGGAACAACCGGGCCCACCACCACCTGCTGCGCCTGAGGGGCGAGGGCGGCCTCCCCTCCCCCAACACCCGCCACCGCGAGGACCCCGAATCGGTGGGCCGCATCGAGGAGGAGACGACAGAAGATGAGGCCAGCGAGCCCCCCACGCCTAGCACCCGCCTCAAGGTCCCCAGCCGGCTGGAGGCCTCCCAGAGGCTTCAGAGGGAGACCCCTCAAATCCAAGTGAGACGGCCCTCCAATGAGAGCATCGACGGGGACCAGGCGGCTGCCTTGGGGTAGTGAGCTCCGTGCGCCTCAGCACTCCTCCCTCAGCCTGTGCCTGAGCGCAGAACCGGGCCCACTTGGCCTTGCCCCTGGCTAAGGGCCTGGTCCAAACCCCAGTGAGATTAAGGGAGACTCTTGCTGCCTCAGTGGCCTTCGGAGCAGGCCCTCAGGGCAGAAAGCCAGACTGTAGCGATCAGCTCCACTGCCACCAAGGGCTCAGCAAGGCGCATGCGCTAGTCACCCGCTCCCCATCACACCCCTCCCGTTGCCACTGCCCGACCGTTGGATTCAGCGGATGACAAAGACCTGAATGGCAGGACACAGGAGAACAGTTCATACAGGAAACTTAGACAGCTGTGAGACGCCTCTGGTTAGGGCCCCTAAATCCCTCCCTCCCTCCCTCGGCTTTGCGATGCTTTACTGCCCATGTCCAGTAGTTTTCAACAATAAAAATGCAGAGACCTCAAACATGTGTGACCCTGGGGGCAATGGGGCTAAAGGAAGATCTGCAGGAGGGATTCTCCGCTGAATTCTTCAGCCTTTCAGTGAGAGCTGCCGTTTCACTGAGACATCCCAGACCCGTAGAGACGCGTCCGCCCACCTGCCTAGGCTGTTGTTAGGGCAGAAGGGACCGCTGGACCGACTGTGACCATTTACACCCACACGCTAACCCGGGAATTAGGTGTGTTCTTAAACAAAGAATCAAAATCCACAGTCTATGGCTACGTCTACACTGGCATGATTTTCCGGAAATGCTTTTAACGGAAAAGTTTTCCGTTAAAAGCATTTCCGGAAAAGAGCGTCTAGATTGGCAGGAGGCTTTTCCGCAAAAGCACTTTTTGCGGAAAAGCATCCGTGTCAATCTAGACGCGCTTTCCCGCAAAAAAGCCCCGATCGCCATTTTCGTGATCGGGGCTTTTTTGCAGAAAACAAATCTGAGCTGTCTACACTGGCCCTTTTGCGCAAAAGGACTTTTGCCTGAACGGGAGCAGCGTAGTATTTCCATAAGCGCTGATTTCTTACAGTAGGAAGTCAGTGCTTTTGTGGAAATTCCAGCGGCCAGTGTAGACAGCAGGCAAGTTTTTCCAGAAAAGCGGCTGATTTTCCGGAAAAACTGGCCAGTCTAGACACAGCCTACCTGTATCTGGTGGGTTGGGGCCTTGCTCTTGAGCTCAGGCTTTTGGTTAAGCAGCAGGAGCATCCATAAGCTGGGAAACTGTGCGGTCACATCTTGGCACATCCCAAACCAGTCACGTTAAAATAAAGCAATTCGGAGCTGGGAGAAAAGGGATCCAATCTGGCCTCCTGCTCAAGGGACAAGCATAGAAGATTTAAAGGAAACGTAGGCTGAGAGCTTCCTCTCTGGCAAGGACCCATTTCTCAATAGTTGGGGTTGTGAAACCCTCATTTATTGCTTTGTTATTATGCCCCCCACCTATTGTTTGTGTGTATGGTTCTGTCGGGCTTTCTGATTGGTTCTGTCTCCTGCATAATTAATTTTGCTCAGTGTAAACCACTTAAGGCAGTGGGATATCATTGGTTAAGTAATCATGTTACAGTAAGTTAGGATTACTTAAGTTACATTTCAGTAGAATGATTGGGTAAGGGATACCTGAAATTACTGTATGCGTCAGGGACAAACAGTATGTGGGGGTGGCGGGGAAGAAAAATGGATCCATGGATGCTGAAGGCTAACTCCCCAAAAACATTGAACTGTTTGCATCTCCAGACTTCGGGCAATGCTGTTCTCTGGGCAAGTGAGGCCCAGGGAAGTGGGAGGGTAAAGGGATACGCCGGCTGACATGACTCTGTCTTCAAACTGCATTTTGTAAGATCTCAGTGAAATCTACAAAATCCAGCCAAGTTTCAAGAACACAGGTCCATTCATTTCAGACACGAACATTCAAGGGCCAGCATTTAAAATATTTACACTTGGTTCTTAGTAGTTTAGAATATTTCAGAGCTGCTGTGTCTCTTCCCAGGCTTGTGAATGTACAGAAAGCTTTATATGGCTAATTCAAGGCTCCATTAATAATAAACCAGCACCCCCTACAGTCCACAACTCGTTACAAACATTGTGACTTTTGGGAACTGTATAAGCAGTGTGCCCCCTACAGGCCACTGTGGCAGTAGCAACACCCTGGTCCCATTCCAAATTTCCAAACCCAGACACTTAAGGGTGCGTCTAGACTGGCACAATTTTGTGCAAAAGCAACTGCTTTAGCGCAAAAACTTGCCGCCTGTCTATACTGGCAGCAAGAATTTGCACAAGAACACTGACTTTGTACATTACAAAGTCAGTGGTTCTTGCGCAAATACTTTGATGCTCCCGCTCAGGCATAAGCCCTTTTACACAATACTTGCACAAGAGGGCCAGTGTAGACAGGAACATTAATTTATTGCGCAAGAAAGCCCGATGGCTAAAATGGCCATCAGAGCTTTCTTGCACAAGAGAGCGTCTACACTGGCACGGATGCTCTTGTGCAAATACTTTAACGCAAAAACTCTTGCGTTAAAAGTATTTGCACAAAATCTTGCCAATGTAGACGTAGCCTTCGGCTTATTCCTGAGCAGGAGCGTCATAGTTCTTGCGCAAGAAGCACTGATTTCACACATTAGAACGTCAAGTGTTCTTGTGCAAGAACTCCCCGCCAGTGTAGACAGGCAGCAAGGCTTTTTTGCGCAAGATCGTGCCAATGTAAACACAGCCTTATACTTTGCACTACATGAAAACCAGCCCACACGTTGGCTGCGTCTAGACTGGCAAGATTTTGTGCAAAAGCAGCTGCTTTTGCGCAAAAATTTGCCAGCTGTCTACACCGGCCGCTTGAATTTGTGCAAGAACACTGACTTTGTAATGTACAAAATCAATGCTTCTTGCGCAAATACTTTGATGCTCCCGCTCAAGGATAAGCCCTCTTGCGCAAGAATACTTGCCCAAGAGGGCCACTGTAGACAGGCACCTTAATTTTTTGCGCAAGAAAGCCCGATGGCTAAAAGCCATCCAGCCAGTCACTCCAATGCCAAATAGAAAGATTCCTGATCATACATCCAGGATCTCATTGCGTCACCCTGGGGGTTCATGATCAGCTGACTATTCACCACGGTCAAATCTTTTCCAGAGCTGCCACTTCCCAGCATGAGTCTCCCATCTTGTATGGCCACCAGATGTTGAGTGCAGCTCTCTCCAACGGAATATTCCCATGCTTGAAGCAGGGAGCCAGGAACAAAGGGAATCGTGGTAGTATGACATATGGGTTAGGCATAATCCTAATCAGCAGGCCTGGATTCTATTTCCTACTTTGCTATTTAATTGCTGTGTGACTTTCAACAAGCTCTGTGCCTCATTCCGCCTACCGCCCCCCCATCCATGCAACAGAGAATATGCTCCATGATCCATGTGCACCGGTGAGGAGTTGGGGTACAGGAAGTGATTTTTTTCAGGCTCTGCTCTTTCTCTCACCCACCTTTAGCATTTCTTAGGGGGTGAAGTAAAGGTGATTCATGGTGCTTGTGAGAACTGTGGGGCAAACAGCCAAATTCAGGATGGCAGTAGACAGGTATTCATCCCCCAACCTTCCCTGGAGAGGTACCATTACCTCAAGGGTGAATTTGATCCTGCATTGCCTCTCCGAGTCTCAGACATTGAGGCTACATCTAGACTGGCATGATTTTCCGCCAATGCTTTTAACGGAAAAGTTTTTCCATTAAAAGCATTTGCGGAAAACAGCGTCTAGATTGGCACGGACGCTTTTCCACAAAAGCACTTTTTGCGGAAAAGCGTCCATGCCAATCTAGACGCGGTTTTGCGCAAAAAAGCCCCGATCGCCTTTTTCACAATCGGGGCTTTTTTGCGCAAAACAATACCGCGTTGTCTACACTGGCCCTCTTGCGCAAAAGCATTTGCGCAAGAGGGCTTTTGCCCAAACAGGAGCAGCACAGTATTTCCGCAAGAACACTGACAATCTTACATGAGATCGTCAGTGTTCTTGCGGAAATTCAAGCGGCCAGTGTAGACAGCTGGCAAGTCTAGACACAGCCCGTGTGAAACACTGTCGAATATGCTGCAGTAAGACACACCAAACCTATCCACACCTCTCATTCTGACTGCAGTGAGCACCGAGGCCAGTGGTGGGTTTTATGAGGCCTTTGCACATGCTCCAAAGCCCTTTTCCTTCTACCCCACAGGCTTTGGTTCTTGGGCACTAAAAAGAATTCTGGAGAAGTAAGTTGTAGCATCACCATTTTATATTGCACTGTACAATGTCATTGGCGCACACACAAACTTTTCTGATTTAAAAATATACGTAGCTCAAGTGCAGTGCATGGATTCCCATCCATTTGTAAGAAAAATCTACAGACAGGGTGGTTTTGAAACCATTACATGTTTAAAGAAGAAAGTAATGTAATCAAAGACCTGTCTAGACCGGGAAGCTACTGAGCAGTAAGCGGGCTGTGAATTGTTATTCTAGGCTCTCTCCTATGTAGACAAGCCCTCCAGTACACTGGAGGGGTCACTCAACTCTTCTCTGCCACTCCAGACTAGATTTGAGAACTCTTCACTGCTGGCAGGTCCCTCTGGAGTGTGTGCAAATCCTCTGATAGAACAGCTCAGCCACACGTAAAAGTCTCCTCCCCCTTAGGCTCCGTCTACACTGTCAGGTTTTTGTGGAAGAGGAAATGCAAATGAAGTGCTCATTAGCATTTCTCCCACTCATTTGCATATTATGTTCCGATCCTTTTTGTGGAAAAAACGCGGTGTATATGGGGCCATTTTGCACAAAAAAATCCTTTTTTATGGCTATATAGGCTATAGGTGCTCTTTGTACAGAGATGTGTACAAAGACCAAGAGTGGTGTCAGTTTTAGGTAAAAATAGGAAAGTGGGGTCAGCAACTGTGTACATGGCCTTTTTCCCCATGCATTTTCTGTACATATGTTACTCTAAGTAGCTGGGAACACAGGGAAGTTACATGAAGAGTGTATGAAAGCCAGTGCCCATCTTAGAGAGATTTCAGATTGTCTGTAAGCAGGAAAATACAAGCAGAGCTACACTGGTTTAGTAGATTCTGTCATCACAGGGGCTGAAGAATAACTTCCCCCCACCCTAAAACAGCAGCTCGTATTCTCCAGAAACTGGATCACAGGGTAAATAAAGGTTTTGATGCCTCTGCTGTGCACCTTCTGCACCAGCCCTGGAGGATAGGCGCTCACCACCAAGCTGATTAAGCCAGTTTCCAAGTCAAGGTGAATTCTAGTTATGGATCAAAGAAGTCTACACCTTTCTTAGGGCACATCTCCACGACAAGGTGGATCCACGCCGCAGCGACTGATCCACCAGGTCTAGTACAGGGAAAGGGAAGCTTGTACCCAACCATCGAAAGAGACAGACCACTGAAGCAGCCTGGCCCTTCTGCTAGAAGGGAGTTTATCTTGCACTGCAATGAGACTGAGGAGGTCAAGGGGAAGACCAACCAGACACTTGACAGTGCAGCACCAGTTCTAACATCTCACCCAAGAACCCGTACACTTGGGTTAAACGTACAAGTTCAAAATAAATGCAGGGGGAGGGCACTTGGAGGAGTAACAGAGGACTCAAAGTAACAGAATATTGACTAAAATGGCTCAGTAAGATTTAGAAAGTTACCCGAGCCTAAGAGGTTCCACAAATGTCCATCTGAAACGAAAACAAGCCACTAGGTGCCCCAAACCTATTAGCCAAATCTCTGTACAAAATGTAAATTA